TCTCCCTATCCAAGAAAAAAAACGCAGGCGATTTTAACGGAAGAAAATAAAAAAAACCTGTCCCGAAACTTAAACGGACCTCGTAACTTGAAAGGTGATTGTTTAACTTTAAAAGGCGTTAGTCCCAGATATGCTCAGGAGAAGGCACGTTCTAGTGCCCATTATCACGCGACTTATCTCGTACCTAAAGCAACACGGTAAGGCATTTTATTCTGTGTACCACCTTGGACAAGAACAAGTTAGTAAGAGGCCCACTGGAAAACAAAAGTCCCTTGTCCCTAGGTCCTCACCAAAAATATCATGCGAAGAAAAGGACGCTCTTTCTGTAATCTGTAATAAAGAGAATAAAACAATTACTTGTCACTGCCTTCTTTGCCTCTACCTAAAATACCTGATGCTTGATTGGATAAAAAAATCTAATAAATTTTATTTTTTATTTTTTAGTACTTATCTACTAACGAGGTACTTAGATAATATTTAAACAGATAATGGCTATTAACGTAGCAACATCTTTATCTGACTGAACAGGCAAATTTTATCAAAGTTTTAGGTGATTATGTAATTTAAATCCGTTTTGGCAAAATAACATTGAAATATGAAGGGTTTTTGTCAGATTAATTTTATTTTTTCAATAATGCTAATAATAATAATGAATTGGCATTAAGAATACAATACAGTAACAGACACTTACCGGAGCCCAAAGCCCAGGGGGATGTAGGGCTCCACTATTTCTTAGCAGGGACTCAAAGGGTGGACTCAAACGCACTTGTGACTTATAAGTTATAGGTGTAAATGGGCACCGGTTATCACTTATCATCAGGTGATACCGTCTCGTTTGCCTCCTCCTACTATAAAAAACATACATTACTCAGTAAGCTATTAGCGGTGCAAGAACGTGTCTCTTAAATTTGGGATGCCATCCCAGCTAAGATCCTTTACAATGCATCCAACCTGACCTATTTCGGACACTGCGGTTTTTGTTTACAGGCAGTTTTCCTACGTTGGCAATGAATCTGCTCACGGAATCAATTTACTTACTATTATGCAGGTTAATTACGTTACCCTACTAACAATCCTTTGGGGTTTCGCAACGAGTTTTTCCCCATCTTGAAACTGTTTAATAGCAGATTGTTACAATCATTATAATAGCGTAGATGCATATTTTTTATATTAAGTAGGTACTACTTATACATACTACCTCTCAAAATGACAATTTTTAAAGAAAATGTTTTTTTGCGTAGTGTTAACTGTAACTAACTACCTTATGGTTCTTTCATTGGGAGTTTTCATCAAGATATCGATCCAAACTAAACTAATAATGAATTATTATTTCTTATGGTTACACAGACAAATTCATTATTTTCACCATAATTAGAAATTAAAAATGCCTGAAACACACAACTCTGCATCACCCCAAGGTTGGCTGAAAGCAAAAGCCTAAGTCATTAAGTCCGGCTTCTGCAATATAATTTCAGGAAGTGTTGATACATAAATAAATGAGTAGGTAAATTTCTTCCTTAGTACCTTCACAAAGACTCAAGACAAGATCTTTGTAAAAAATACTTAAATAATCCCCTAATGCTATGGTATTCTATCAAAATTTGAACTGGATTGTTTTAGCCTTTGAAAACTGCACAATTTTCATATGCATCAAGTTATAATAGTTGCGACATCACAATTCAAATTTGGGTCACACGATAATCTCAAAGTATTGTGATTAATTAGTTTATTAGAAAATAAACATTAAATAATCATTTATATATTTTCCTTTTTAGCAAATATAAATGAATTGTTAATAGCATATCCACTCAATAAAATTTTCCGATACACAAAGCTTTATCCATATTGAGGTTAATTATTTTGTTTCTTAGTGGTGCCGTGTTTCATCGGTTCTTAGCCCTGACCACTCGAGTTCCAGTAGAGTTGTAGATGTAGGGCAGATATTCACGATCCTATCAGTTTGAAATAGGGGTTCACATGAAAACCTGTTTTCGGTGGTATCATAACTTAAAATAGTACCTAGCAATTAAGGCGGCAAAGTTGTATAGTGAAGTTCCTTTTTTTTCTTGATTGATTTTTTGTAAAATCGGCGTATTTGATTTATTTTGCTAAATCAATGTATTTGGAACAGCATTTAATGTCTTTTTCAGTCATATGTGTTGTGATGTATTTTATTTACAGATTAATGATGTAGTATTTAATTGTTATGGATTAATAGAACAATGGAAAGGTACATGTCTTTAGTGATATAGCGTGGTGTCGAGTAAAACATTAAAAAAATCAGTAGTATTCAACGTCATGAAAAATAGTGAATGTAGATATTTAAACGAAACAGAAAGGAATGAGGAATGTACACTCACACCCTAGATAAATTAATAAATGTTTTAAGTTTTTCATGTTTTTATTTAATACTGTTTATCTTATTTAAATAAATAAAAAGGGGTACGTAATAAAAAGACAGGCTAAAAAATAAAAATAAAAAAAACCGAGTGAACCTTACATTAGTGGCATATCATCTGACGTCTCATGTTCCGTATTTGATTCGACTAACGAGCGCTAGGCTCATTAGCCAAATCAAATGGAGCGCGCTTCTTCAGCTTAAAAAAGTTTAATGAGCGTAATAACGAATTGCTAAGAATTGTCCATGTTGTTGGATACTAGCCTTACAAGATATTGCAGATGTTCTTATTATTATTGATTGCTAACATAAGCGACTGCTGTGCCGAGGTCTCGGCTTTCGCTTTCGGGTGTTTTCTATGTAAAATATGGGTGTATTTACAAAAAAATGTACGTAATTATTCTATAAGTCAATCTAGCTTTTATAGTAGGTAGGTACAATCTCTGATTAGTTTGAAGCTAGATGGCGTTGTGTGTCAGATGTCCGAAGAATTTATAAAATAAATATATTTTTCATATGTTCAAGTTCAAAATGTAAAACAGGCAAAATATAATTCATACAAATACTATAATATATAGTATACCCATATAGGTTAAATTTGTATGCTTCAAATAGGTACAAAATTTGTTATAAATAAATGACCTGTGAGACAAGTTTGTACTGCTCTTTAATTTATAATATCATGATATCGTATTTCTTATATCTGTATTTATTTACATTTATCAATAGAAAGTAAATCGCGCAAATCAGTACGTCAATATGAATAATACATATTGTTAACGAAAGCTTGAATTAATAATATAATATATTAACTTATAGATGTTAACATTCTACGAATAAATTTGCCTAAATTATTACAAATAAATTATTAAATAAATAAAAGATCATGTTAATCATCTTTATGATTATTTATTATTAGGGTCTTTACCCATCAGAAATAAGTTAATAACCGAATAAAATACGTTGATTTTTATTCATGAAAATTTTATTTCGGTTTGTAATTTTATTTTCATTTTCAGTATCAAAACGGACGTTTTTAGAAAAATAGATTGGAGTACCATTAAAATTAACAAATTAATTAAGTTTGCCACGTCTAAAAGTCATAGTTTTCGAATCCACATTAAATAATTATATTTCATAAAATTAGTTGTCAGTTACTCTACTGCTACTAAAATAATAAAAAGGCACCGCAACAACAGGTTGCTTTTTTAACGTTGGTTTGTGTTTGTGGTTGAGCCTTGTCAGAAAATCAAGCGAAGAGAGTAAATGTTTTAAAAGAGTAGTATAGTTAGTTGGCCACTCTTTAAAAAACCTGATTTTGCATCTTCTCAGCCGGAAGACGTCCACTGCTGGACATAGGCCTCCCCCCTTTTCGCCACAACAACCGGTCCTGCGCTGCCCGCATCCAACGATTTCTCGCGACATTCACCAGGCCTTCATAATAAATACAAACTTGCATCTGTACTCTACACTCCAAAATACTAATCAGTCGTTTTAAGGAGACTGTTTTTTATAGCATAAAGGGGTAAACTAGCATTCGGATCACCTGGTGGTAAGTAACATCCCACAAAATATACCGAAATACAACCGCCATGACTAGATATACATTACATTACCAGATAATGTCTACGAACAAAGCTAGTATAAAAGCGTGGGTATACCGAAACGTTTCCAAATCTATTATTCTAAAATTAAATAAATTTTTCTTACCCTTAATTTTACTCCATTCATTTTTTTAGTTTCACTTTATATTACAGGGCACAACTACAAAAACTAATATGATTGTGTGTTTTTGTATGATATTATGATAATAATAATGTGATTACTCTGTATAGCATGAGGTTATCTAGGGGGTTATTATTAATATTACTGGTATTACAATCTGGTATTATCCAGAAAAAAAAAGTGTAGTCAATTCTTCGTCGTCTTTTTCAAACTCGTCAACAATCCAAGATAAAGAAATGAACTGAAAAATCGTAGGGGCCTAAATACTGAATTGACCTGTCCTTATAATCTATCGTGTTATGTGTTTTTAAAAATGTCCATTTTATTATTGATTTTAAATTCGCCAAAGTATGTATACTAAATGAGAGATGGAAAGTAATCAGACTAAGGACAGAAGAAAATATGATTCTAGTTTGTCTTTATCGATCTACATAAAAATATACAAAATATTTTTTTTTATCATTCAAGCTAGTCATTGGCTACAAAATAAAGAAACAAAGTTTGTTGATCAACATAAATGAGAAAATAGTTCTTAACAGTCTTAGCTTTGCCAATTTATAAATAGTCATTAAATATTTAACACACACTGTCACGAAATAAATGGCAACTCCTGCTATAATTCAATATACTCTGTGGGCAACAGTTGGCAACTTCCAACTGTCATCTAACTGACAGATCTGACAGTTTGTTGACACTACACCCACCTGTAGTTAGTTTTGGTTTCTATTCTCGTTCTTATCCAGAGTCGTTCCGTCAAATGCAAGTCATAAGTAAATTATAGTCGGACTGGGCAAACGCTGACTTAACGTTAAGCAAAGTAAAACGCCGGTATCATTACCATAGCTCTTTGTTGCATGAAGTCAAGTTTGTCTTCGAAATGTCTGCCTGTAAATGTCAATTTAAGTTGGTTTCTTCAACTAAAGCATCTGATATTATTCCGGTAGATAAATATGTATCTGAGAAGACCGGTATCACTGTAATCATTGCAGGTGTTGAAGGACCTCTGGTCAATGGATTCTTTTGCCTCGGTAAGTGTTTAACAGATAATACGAAGAAGTGTCCTTTACCTCAAAGTGATACAATATATTCTAAATAGATATACCTTTTAGGCTACATTTTCGCTAGCAACTGAACATAATAATAAATGTAGTGGCTGTAACTAGCCGTAGACATTACATAAACCTTAAAACCATTGATTATCAAAATTGATTAAAAAGTGTTCCTACTGACCACTACTACATTCAATTATATCTCAACTTAATCATAAATAATGTACTTTAATATATTTATTAGTTTAATGTACTTCAATCATTGAATTATGGTATTTATGTCAAAAGAAGTTACTGTATATGATAAAATCTTATTAGACCTGAAATTTGATTTTTGGAAATGATAATAAAAACTGTATGCTATTAATAATTGAGGCAATAAGAGATTACAAATGGACTAAAATAGGTATACTAAATTATTGAAAGACATAGTGAGTTGGATTTGGATAGTTTTGACCTCGGTAAAGGCATCCAAATCTAAACTCATTACAATACCTACTTGCTTTTTTTATTACTTAGAATATTAGTTGTTATGAATCAGAGATATTTTTTGAAAAATCTTTTTTGTGTTTCTTTGTGTACATGTGAGTTACATTACGTTCCCCAAAAAATGTATTTGTTTTAATTGATTGTAATGTGTTTTGTGCATTTAAGAAACGAAATAACAAAAACATTAAAAAGATACTAGTGATACTATATTATTATGTTAAATATACACATATAATATTATAATAGTGAATTAAGTTTTAATTTAACTAATAGTAAAATGATATATTTTTATTTAAAGCAACGGAAGCTCATGATGATGATGGTTTGCCACACACCTTGGAACATCTAATCTTCCTTGGGTCTGAACGCTACCCATACAAAGGTATCCTGGACCTGGTTGCTAACCGTTGCATGGCCCAAGGAACTAATGCATGGACTGATACAGACCACACATGCTACACCGTTTATACTGCAGGAGATGCAGGCATGTTGACACTGTTGCCAATATACTTGGACCATATATTAAGGCCAACACTCACAGATCAGGGTTTTATAACGGAAGTACATCATATTGATGGGGAAGGAGAAGATGCAGGTGTGGTGTACTGTGAGATGCAGGGAAGAGAGAATACTGCTGACTCAAGGTACCCATTCTCACATTTAGTTAAGTTTTAACTTGCAACTTATAAAAAAATATGAAATTTAAAAACTGTTCAGTAAAATTTTAGGTTTAAATTTGTAGAACATAGAATATTTTAGAGTAGGTATTTTCTTTCATAAGTTTGATTAATATCCTTTAAATTCATTTTAATAATATGCTGTAAAGAGCAATTTTAATCTACATTAAATGTACAATGTGTAAATAGTACTAATGTATTGTTTAAAATAGCTTCGTAAATAACCCATTATTTTTTTGTAATACTTAAAAGATAAAAATGGTTATCGTGGATTATCCTTAGGAGATATACATATACCATCGCGGACGTTTTTGTAGATCTTTTTAAGATTTAAAATTCCGTGATATATTAATTTGATCTATCTCAAAATGTTTGCAATGTAAGCGCACAAAAACATGTTTTACGAAAAATCTTTGAAATTCTCGTATTTATACATGTAAACCTTCCTCTTGAATCACTCTCTCTATTGTTGGAAACCACATTAAAATCCGTTGCTTATTTTAAAAGATCTAAGCGTACAACACAAAAAAGCGACTTTATTTTATACTATGTAAAGATTAAATGAAATATGTTTCCATGTCAGCTACTAATTGCATTTCTTAAAAATAAATTGCCATTACAATATTTCTTTTATTTCATGACTGTTATGTATAGCATGACATATTGAAGTTTCTCCTCCTTTTGGCTCTGCTATTGTTAAAGTTAGTTCCAATATTAGTTGACACTTGAATGCCCTAGAATCTAGGGCATTCAAGTGTCAACCTAGGCTAGTGTCACTTTAGGGTTACTGCTGTAATTCACACTGGTGTTAATATTTATAACCATTAATATTATCAATAAAAAACGTTTTAAATGTACATATTGTAATGCTAGAACTATTTGCTTCAGATGTGAATTGCAACTAGCAAGGGCTATGTACCCGGACAGTGGTTATTCTGCTGAAACAGGGGGTATTATGGAAAATCTTAGAACTTCTACTGACAACATTAAGGTAAGAATATATATATTATATATTTCTTTATAAAGGACATGGCCAGTTTCTGCCTAGTTTTTTGGTAGCATGTACATTAATAACAGCCTTATGATAAGAAAATAAAAAAAAATATATAAATTATGGCATCCTTCATATTTCTGTCTAACTTCCGAGTGTTAACACAAGATTAAAGAGTTTTTTTTTTATTTCCTATACATTCAGGTTCTGCGCCATTTTGAGAAAACGTGTTTCCAGTAAAAGTAATGTTTACGTATAAAACCAGCGTAAATATGTAAAAATAATTACGTTGGTTCAAAATAGTACTAAAGATTAAAAATCAATATAGTAATGATAGGTTATTATTGCAGCTGCTTAGTTGGCAACAGGACCGTAGGATGTTGTTGTCATGTAATGACAATGATCTGGTACCTAGGTTGGGCTAGACATCAGACCAATATTACTCCACCAGCATCATTTTTAGATAATATTTTAGTTCGAATGATTGAATATTAAATGTCATAATAAAACATTTTATATAAAAACTATATTTTTTTATTTCACCCATTACCAATCCATTAAGCATCCACTCAGTCCTTCAGCGCACCTTAATCTAAAATCTGAACTTAAAATAATCTTGAAGTATTTAATAATTATATTTCTTAGTTATCGCATCCTCGTTAAAAAATACTTTTTCAGGATAAACTTAAGCATGTTTTACCGACTGGAAACCGAACTAGGGCCACTTAATTCAAACGCACTTACTACCACGGTCGTCTTTAAAAATAATATCGTATTTATTTTTATTATGTATCCATTTAATACCTTTTCAGTGCTCCGAACGCCTGTAGTTTTTATGAAAGCAAAACAGTTTCTATGAACTCATTGCTTTTAAGTTTAAGAAGGATTAAAACATGACATCCTTTTATGTAAATATCTAAAAAATCTGAAGTACATGGAATATGTAACATATACATTATATTTTTTAGGACAAATTTAATTCCAAAAAGCAAAATTTCGTTAATGTACATGAACTTTTACAAGCTAGGCAGAGGGCCTTGTATAAATTGGCCATGTCCTTTAAAATAGCAAACAGTATTAAATAAAAAAAAAGTTGTGTGATGTTGTGGAACACCCAATAAGAACGACGTACCTCCCAAATATTTCATTTATAAATTTGCGTAGAATTTTTAATAAATATATAAAAGAAAATGTTGGATTTGAAGAAATAAAGCCATTTTTTTATTAAAAAATTGAATAACTCTAAAACGATTAATTGACTTATCAATGTAACTACGCGTTACTAAACAAATGTCTTAGGACTGACGATACCCACACCAGCCACCTAAATGATTTTAAGCTCGAAATTAAACAAATGCTGACAACTTGGAAGCGCGATTACTAAGACGCTTTTTTGGAGCGTCGGCGGAGTAAACAACATTAGTTGCAAAACCTGGACATTCAGAAGTCAAATAAAGAGATATAAAAATCCATTACTACCATCAGTGAATTGTATGATAATATGAAAAACAAGTTGAAATTACTAGAAAGTGAGTGTAGAAATTACAAAAAATATACAGAAGTTTTAGAAAAAACTGTATGAGACCTTTAATACCAGTCACGCTCTTCAACTATCGAGGTTCGTAATGTACCATTTAAACCAAATGCTGCTGATCTCTCAAATATTATAAGGAATATTGGGAGCACCGTTGGTCTACCAATATCGCCTACAACAATCCGAGATATTTATCGTGCCCCGGGAAATTCACCCAACAAAGCCATTATAGCCGAACTCACGAGTGATCAAATAAAGACAGAACTCGTATCCTGTGTACGTAAATTTAATATTAAACATGAAAATAAAGACCATACGCTTAATACACAACTAATAGGGCTCCCTGGGCAAAATCACATTGTGTATGTGGACGAACACTTGCAATTTGCAAAACAACATGATTACGAATTTTTTTGGTCATCCAATGGCAGAATCTTTATACGGGAACAACCGGGAGATAAACAAATACTAATTAAATCCAGGAGCTCATAGACAGCAAATGACTACTACTACACTGCCAAGTCATAATCTACCATAACTACTGCGTCATTCTTCGTATACTGCATGACGAATATTTTAAATACTTCATATTAAGTCAGATAACAAATACTAATCTACACACAAATACATATTATACCTCTTAAATCTACAAACACACTAATAACAAAATCTTACATTGTAAAACATGATAAAAAAGTGGCAAAGAGTGTCTATTATTATTAATCTGCAAACTCAAACATCTATCCCACACACATACATAAGATTTCCGTTAAATACACCTAATAATTAAATAATACAAACAACCTATAAAAGATATCGTAACTGCTGCAACATTCTTTGTTTGACAACAAATCTGATTCAATAATAACTATAAATAATGTTTGCAATTACTTTGCTGCGATTGGTTCCGACTTAGCATCGAAAATAGCCTCCATACAATTTGGATTGTAAAAATCCTTTCAAACAAAAGTTAAACCGACTTCAAACAATACTGATAAAGAGCACTAAAAATTAAAAAATAATTACAAATCTAAGTAAAAAAACTATAATATATACCCTCAAATTAACAGGTAACATTATAATAGCAATAGTCCCTTCTAGTCTGTTTGAAGTCGGTGCCATCGCGTAAACGTCAAAATAATATAAATAAGACACCTATGATAAATATGTTTAAATTATAACTAAAAAAAACTAGTACAACCATGCAGGTAAGTATAGTGCTATCGCTCTCTAAATTTTGTCCCTTTTTGCTGTCAAAGACTGCTTTTTTATATTATATTTTATGAATAAATTATATTTTTCAATCAAAGAATTGTTTTTAAATTATTACTTTAGATTTTTTTTGTTTAAATCTCTTATTTTGGGCTTGAACAACAGATTTTGTATTCATTTATGGCGGTGATCCCAGTCGCCGGAAGAAAAATATTCAAATTAATAAATGATGTATCCGGGTCCTAGTTAATTGCGGTCCCAATCGCCAAAACCCATTTATAACGATAAAGATAATCAAAATCAATAGTTAGATAATCAAATGTTTATTTTTGTTTTTCATTAGGAAATGTGGATAGTAAAAATGTTTCTTAAAAACTTGATTTAAAACTATGAACAATAAAGTTAATAATATTTAAATCTTTAATGTACACATGTTTATGCAAATAAAATATCTTGTATCTTGATTAATGTATTTTTAGGTGAAAAAATTCCACAAGAAGTTCTACAGGCCTGAAAACCTAACAATTATTTTGGCTGGTCAAATTGAAGCAAACGATGTTTTCAAAGCACTGGAAGTTGTTGAGAATGACATCATCTCCAAGGTAAACATTATCACTTATCTACTGATATTGCATTATCTATTAACATTTAATATTTTTGTAACATTGTGTATATTTATTATAATTCGAAAGTTTTTATCCCAATTTATCTGGGGGCACGGAAGTGCTCCTGTCAAGACGAGCGACTCCTGCCAAGCGAAGCGCAAGGACACTACCTACCTATTCTAGAAATGCTTCGTTGTTTTTTTGAACCCTCATAATTTGGGTTTGGATTATACCAAATAAACAACATTTTTGGGATGTCAATAGTGGACTTATTCAACATATAAAATTTCAATTGCTAAAAGTTTGAAAGCTAACTTTAGATTTTATTGATATCTAAAAAACCTCGATTTCATCACTGACTTCTCCTTCTGAAGTCCTAGAAAACTGAAATTTGGTATGTAAACTAGTCTTAGTACACAAACAACAAAAAAAAGTAAAACTTACAACCCCGCAACCCCTTAAATTAGAGGAAGAAAGTTTGTGTGAAAGTACCGCAAATATTGATGCTAGAGGTCTGAAAATTGATATAATAGATACTATTATTAATAATATATTGCCATAAGCAACTTACAAAAAGATCTAAAATCCCACTTTCATGTAAAATGTTGCCAACACGAGACCATATAGCTCGCACTGCCAAAAAGTTATCAGAGCTCATGTAGAGCCAAACTAACTCTAAACGCCTTAACTCCATAAACTTTAACTTCACAAACTCTACACCTTAGTGAAAGTATGTGGCTTAGCTTTTTCGCTACCGTCACATAGGCGTAAGGTGAAAATTTTGTTTACTGTTCATGACTTTTCTAATATACAAAAGTTCTTATAGTACCGAAACGGCCAAGCCACATACTCGCAATAGGAGTTAAAGTATGAAATTGCCGATTTGTACTGAAAAATTGAAACTCGTTTTTTTCTAAGATGTAACATATTTATTTAATCAAAATATTTACCCTCATTATCTATACATTGCTGACATTTAAACGGAACTTCATTAATGCCTTTGAACTCTGGGGATTTAGTAACTCGTATTAAAAAATGATTCGGATTTTCGAAGTATAAATCTTTCACGTCTAAGCTGAATAAAAAAATAACAATTGAAAGTCGAAAATCTAATGCTGCACATTTTTTAAAAGAAGAACCTCATAGGTATCATGTGCAAAATGTTTTACAGGAAAGTCTCATATTATGAAGGTTTTATGTCACTTCAAAGTATCTATTATGTATACAACGGCAATGTCATACTTTAACCCTTATTATTTTGACTAAGGTCTTGTAGATTTGTAAAGTTTGGCCGTACATGAGATCTGATAACTTTTTGACAGTGCAAGCCAGATGGTCTCGTCTTGGCAACATTTCACAGGAATTTTTTTTTTTTGGTGTGATCTTTATTTCGGTTTATAATAACTTTTTTTTTAAACATGCCAAAAATTATAATTATATTTGAAGTAATGTACACTTTAAGGGTATTAATAAAAATTTTAGGGGTATATTATATCAAATTAAATAAACTTTTATTAAGATATTTAAAAAAGCCTTGTTTATTTTGTGTTTCACATTTGTAACAGGACCCAACTTCGTCCATAGATTCTAATGTGAGTGCCAGTTTTTCATATAATTACAGCGATGGGCGTAGCCACAGTGGGCTAATGTAGGGCACTTTAATTGGATGGAATTGGGCAAGTTAACAACTGTCCTAAGGACATACGAAGTACTGTACTACTGACTAGCTAGAAAAATTTGGAAGTCTGGTTTTAAATATATAAAACCAGCATTTTGCTATTATAAATGTGTGGAATACTGTTCTGATTATGCCCTACCCTAAAACTAATTCTGGCTACGCCCTTGATTACAGTATTTAAGGACTGTTATAAAGTAATTTTCAAAGTATTCAAACAGTTTTTGAAGTCCCCTTGGGGTTAAGCTATGTAGTTAAATTAGTATTGCCAACTAGAATAGTTCCCCTGCGATGAAATTGTGTAATAATATTAAGTAGAATTACTAATTTGTTACAATTATTAATTACACTTAGTTCATATCAGGACTCAAGTACCGGTTAAGTGACTCAAGTACCGATACCTTTAAATTAGGGTTGCCACCTTTTTTTTTAAAGTATTTTCTAAAGAAGTATTAAGAACATACTGGAATATACTGAAAATATCCAAAATAAATGGGAAAATAATGCATATCTCATTGTTACTAGTTTCGCAACGCATTATTCTTCAAGTTAATATCAAGCTAGTCAAAAACAACTTTCTCATATTTTTTTAAATACTCTATGCAATTTTCTATACACCTCATAGTGTGATTATGTACTATATTTAAGGTATGAGAAAGCGCCCTAAATGCGTTTCAGTTTGAATTTATAAATCCTTCAATTTTGTTGCATTACAATAATTATATTGTTAATATATAAAAGATGAAAAATATGTTTATTACAAAAAAAATGTTTAATCTATGAAAATACAGTACTACTCTAATCTATGTATATAGTATAATTGACTAAAATATAATACGATACTATATAAACATAGGTGGCAACCCTATTTTAAACGCAATACCATCTTACCAAGTAATACCGTCCGTTGCAGTACTGTGTTTTGCTCTATCCTTTGTAGTGGGGCAACAACTGTTTTATAGAAAAATACACAATAGCAGACTAGTATGGTAGTCTTCTACAGTAACCTTGATTTAAAAATTGTATCTCATTTAAACTTCATTTAATATCGATGATAGTACCTAGTCAAACTAGTATCCTACAACATAGAATATAGATTAATAATGTTAAAAACATTGTATGGAAATCTGCAATGCCAAGTGCGTATTAAAGTACAGCCTGTCGTCTTATTTACATCTCAGCCAAATTAATTAATAGAAACACACTGCATTGTGCCTTTCACAGTGAAAGAACTGTTGCCTTAAATGCGTTTAGACTGATTTTGATGTTTGTAACAGGACCGGTATGTGCTTGATGTGAATGTAAGTTTTGACAAAACATTTTTATCGTTATACGAAAGCAGTTAGCGTGTAACTCGTTAAGTGTCATGTAGTATTTTGTATGTAAGTTCACATAGTTACATAATTATGTTAAGATATAGCAAATAACATATATTTTTCTTCATATCTCTAACTTGAAGATTAGAGAACTCTAAACGTACCTAGGTAGAAAAATTTAGGTACATTTGAAGTTACGAGTGTTTATTTAATATCTGACTTCACAATCTCCTTGACATGAAATAAAAGAAAGTAATTTTGTTAGACAGTCCTCATCACTGTATTTAAACGTAATAAATTTAGTAGCTGTCAGTAACATGTGATTACGAATTTTTTGGAGCAGTATTTTACTTACGTTTACATTAAAGTCGTTTTAATAATTTGGTCCATAAATTAGTAGATACATTAGACGTTATTATAATTATTATTAAATGTTCCTTACTTTGTCTTGAATTAATTAATGTACGAAATCTTAGACTATAGTCGCATCGACAAAGCCCTGCCCCTGACCAATTAATGTACGAAATCTTAGACTATAGTCGCATCGACAAAGCCCTGCCCCTGACCAATCAAGTTCCAAAAAAATATCGTTTCGTACGCAAGGTTGGAACCTGATCGGTCAGAATGCTGGGCTTCATCAATTCGTCACTACTTTGTTAACGCAAATAGACTATAGTATCTTAGATACCACGATAGAACCCTCCGGTCAGCTAACAATCCTCTTCTGCTCTGCCCCACTCATACTTCCGCTTGTGTCCACTCTTCGTTCCTAATCCAATCCGTACTCCTCTGGAATGCTCTGCCACTCGAAGTCAGGATAGCACCCAGCCGCCTCTCATTCAAGATGAAAGTTAGAGCTCGCATCCTGGACACGCTAGCAGATTCATCACAACCTTGAAATTTTTATATATTATTGATTTTTAGGCTTATGACTGTATGTATGTTGCTATATAAGTATTTGTGTATGTGTATGTATTTTGGTACGTATGAATGTATGTATATTTATCGCATTACTTCTGCCTAACTTATCAATCATTTTCTTTTACTTCTCCTATTAATGTCTAGTGCACCTAGCCACACATTTCAGCACCACCCTAAGGTAGACTGGGAGAAAATGCCTATGGCATTAAGTCCGCCAATGTACAACTATCACTTGTGCATAAAGAATAAATAAATAAATATCGCATAGTTGCAGCAATTTGTTTATAGGTTACCTAAATTTAACTCAAACGGTATATTTCGTTCTTTTTCTTTATATAAAACAATGTAATTTAGATGTTTAACCAGAAGTTAACGTCTTATGTTTGATATATAGACTAAAATAAGTTCGTTCGTTGTTACTCAACAACTAAAACCATAAAAATATTATAGGGTTATTATCAAATAAAAGTAGACGTATTATAGTTCGACATATTAGAACTAACTAACGAGTAGGAACATATTTGATTACTGTTCTGTTTAACCTTTATGATAGAATCTAAATGGTAAAATCGATAGTAACGTCACGTGTCTGAAGACTGTGTTTGAAAATTTATTTGGTACAATAGTATTCCATAATTACATATAAAAGTCCTAGGCAAGAAGAAAAAAAACTATGAATAAATTAATATCGTCGTGCAACTTCCAGCAACTTTACATTAAACATTTGCTGCCGTATAAAATATTTTGCAACCATTGTGCATGTAGTACATTGTCGCGGTATATCTTTTGCTTTATTTTTATTGATTTCAATAATATTTAAATAAAGATTGTCAAAATATTTTTTTGTTTCTTACCAAAGGCGTGTATAATAAAATCGATAATAACACAGCCTTTAGATATTGACACCTTGTTTTCCACGTAACACGCATAATGATTAATTGATTGGATTACAATTAGTTTTTTCATTGATTTTAGATATGAAGCTTAAGTATATCTAAAAGCTCAGAAAAACGTGAAATCTCAATTACTGTGAATGGTATTTGTAGAATACGTATGACCTAAACGTGTTACAGCCTACATTGTCGCCAGCACCAATTGTCATTCAAATGACCTCAGTGGCGAACTAGTCAGACGAGTGTAATTTGATGGTGATTCAGAAATAATAGATGTGTAAAAATATATTTCCTTGAACTACCATTAGCTAAAGAAACAGTACCTAAATACGAATATGTTGGTTTTATTTTAAATTTGATGCTTTTTCGTTTAGGATTCCTGACAAAAAACAATTTATTCAAATAAGGCTGAGTGCAAGCACTTTTGGAACGTCATTCTTTACATAAAGACAGTCACGAATTCCTAGTGTTTTAGCTGGGAAGAAGAAGCGGTGCAACAAATCCCCCAGAATCTATCATGACGGAAACTAGTCGTAGCTGATTAAAAAACAAACTCACAAATATCTGTCCAAACAAACAAATAAGACATATTAAATCTCTCTGGACGGCAACTTGTGTTTAATGAATACTTGTAACATTATTATCACGTTACTGGTATTCTCCAACTAAGCACTTGTCTAATGAGTAGGTGTACGTTAACACAACTCGGGTTCGAAGCCGTAAAAAAGACGCCTTCGTCATTTCTTCCCGCTTTTATACTATTCAAATTCTTTGCACCGAGGGACCCACTTGCTACGACTTACTCTCATATCGCGAAGAGGAGGTAGGATTTGCGTAAAGAAGACAGCTTCTCTGATGGTTTTTCACTTTTAATTTACCTGTGCCATTAGACAAAAATTCTGTACAAAACGCCTAAACATTTAAGAACACTATCCTTATGACGACATACAAAGGGGTCGCACTATCAATTGTTAAACAATGAGGTTTATTATTCTATATAGGTATATATTTTTATCACACGTTGGACCCATGCCACTACCTGGAATAAAAGTATTTTAGCCTCTTTCTAAATTAACTTAGTTCAATCTTAAAAATATGCGATTTAGTAAGTGATTATACATTAATAAGGTATCAAGATCTAATAATTACTTACGTAAATATTCACAGTATGTAATAAATTTTAAAATTAGAGAGAAACGGAGCCCATAGAAGAATTCGTCAAACCGTGGCAGACCGTCCCACCTATGCCACAGTATGGCGAGTACAATGTGCAGTGGCCAGCCGACACCGAAGACTGTGGACAGGTAAGAATACATTTAAATTGTAAATAAACATAAGTATCACAAGTAACTTACGCTATAATGAACGTTAACTCCTGAATATACAGATACTATTTGGTTGGCGTGGTCCGTTGCTGACGGAGCCAGGATCGCTAAAAGATTTGACAGCCTGCGCTATACTGCTGCGATACCTGTGTGACACGGCTGCTGCGCCACTGCAACGATGCCTAGTGGAGAAGGAAGATGCTTACGCCGGAGATGTAAGATACAACATATCTAAATAGTATAATATACTGAAATTGAAGAGTTTGTTTTTTGTTGAACGTGCTAAACTCTGCTAACGCGAGTCAGATTTAAAAAAATCTTTCTATTTAATAACCTAATTTACGGGAAGGTAATACAGGTTATCAAGCATTCAACTCTCAAATCGTTGCATATTACAAGAGTGTAACAGTTGACATAATGTTATTGTTACTAGTGCCACATTATCCATAACTCAAACATTCTAATTTCTTCAAATTCCATCCAAAAATTTAGTGTAATCAAAAAGTTCTTTACAGATCTCGTACAATCTTACCGAGAACATAGCACCGTTGATCAAGATCGAACTGGACAATGTGCCTATTGATAAGCTCACAGCGGCTCGGGATGAAGCTTTACAATGTTTAAAAACAGTTTGCAGCGGAGAAGACATAATGGACATGGACCGGCTCAAGAGGTTGATTCGCAAGCAACTCAGGGAAGCCATAGCAAGTCTCGAGACTAACCCTCACCACGCAGTTGCCTTTAGATGTATCGGAGATGCTTTATACTCTCAAAACAATGATGATGTAAGTATACAAGTTCAATAAAAGTATATCATACGTTATGTTCGAGCAGGAGTCGCCATTTATCTAAATGATTTTGCGGACCGAGTTTACCTGTTCTATTACTCGTTCTATGTCTACAGCCGAACAACAAAAGGAAATCAAACAAATTAACGCCGTTGTTAAATGATTCCAGTTTATTTCGCGCATGAACCCTCATCAAGACCTTCATACTTTGTTAGAAGAAACTCCTGACTACTGGCTCGGTCTGCTTCAAAAATACTTTACTGATGATGTTGTTGTCATTATGGGGTCACCCAGTATTGAGCTACAGGCCAAGTAAGTAAATATTTTTAATTACCAAATTGTAGTCGACTAGTCTCATTAGGGGCGATGGTAATGTTTTAGTTGTTGATGCTGTCTCTATTCACATATTTGTCTAGAAATGAATAGTTACGTATGTAGTCCCAAGAAGCATAAACATATAATGTATTAATTATTTAAAAGAACAAAATAACGAGAGAATGCGAACATAGAGAAATATTAGAAAACAATTGAAGCCTACATAAATGAATATTTATTCATTTATGTAGGCTTCAATTTTATTATTACAGTCAATTTGAAACGGATGATATTCTGATCATGTTTAAACAGGATGGTTCGATCTTTGACTTTCTTTATACAGAATGGCTGAAGATGAAAAGACAAGACTCGAAAAACAGAGAGCAAGACTAGGTGAGAATGGTTTGGCGGAGAAAGAAAAACACTTAAAAGAAGCCATGGAATTCAATGAGGTAATGATATATCTACATACAACATGTATTTAATTCTATGGAGGATTATTATGTATGAAAACATCCATCTCTATCACTGTAATTTGACACACTGTACGTTTTTCAAAAACCTTTATGCCTTGTACAGTCTGTTTGGGAAATTGCCCTCTGCGGTATTTTCAACGACAACGCACTTGTGACTCCAGAGGTGCAGGTGTCCGTGGGAGAGGTATTCACTTATCATCAGTTAAGCCGGCTCCGCTCGTTTGTCCCAAAAAAAAAATTACATATGGAAATGAATAATAATATAACCTAAATATTAATATAAATGCAGGTATGTATAGTAGTTTATAAGGGCAAGTATCATATCTGATACAAAACGCTCCTAGAAGACTGTGAATGCCCCAGGAGGCCACTGCGCTTCTGAAAGGAGATGAGTTGGCTCGACCTTACCAGGACGCATAAATTACCGTTTTTCCGACCGACCGATACCAACACCAATCAAAATAGTAGTTTATAAGGCAAGAGGAACATTCGCAATCAATATAGTGATTAGAAAAGTAGAGTAAATTAATAATAAAATTATTTTTGAATTAGAATTAGTTTATTCATGTTGTACATTACCTGTTTAGCGACCCCCGCCCCCGGGGACCCTGGCGGCTGTACCCGTGCCGCCGTGTGACTCGTTGAAGTGCCACAATATTTCCACTTGGAGTACCGACGGAGTGAACTGTCCGTATTTTAATCTCAAAAAAATACCCATTTACACCAGAGTGCATAGTTTGAAGACTAATTTTGTCTACGTAAGTACCGTACGATCGATTTTTTTTTAATTTGGTAAATAGTTTGCATCAGATTTGTAGTAGTCCTATAACTATAAAAATTGGATAAAGTAATCTAACAGTCCTCATGAAAATAAAAGTTTTACATATTTAACTTAAAATTAGCAATGATACTATGTTCAAGTGCTATTATATTTGAGTAGATTTGAGTCGTTGATAGTAACGTATGACGTCACAAGTGGTTAATTAATGGTTTTGACGTTTGTTTATTTTATTAAATACTGTTTTATAAACTGTCACATTGACAATAGATTATCTTTTATTTATTTTACCTCTTACTTATCCACTTGCAGATAAACTTAATATTTGACATGACGTCAGTAGACCGGGAGACACGCCAGTGGCTGCCGCTACATATGAATGGTTTGGCGGAGTGCGCGGTGAGACGAGGTGACACACTCATACCTCACGAAGAGGTCATCTCTGCGAATGAACAACTGACAGTGTCCTTCGGTAACCACATAGGGTTCGACCGTTCCGGCAATTTCTCTGTGGGACAGTTTGGGAACTTGGTACATATTGAAGTTATGGTAAGTCGTGTTTTCAATGGCAATCATCATACAGCGTTAACTACAAAATATTCATGTTTCGTGTTTAGTTGACTGATTTTTTAAAAGATCGAAATCATGTAGATATATGTCTTTAGAACCTCACTAAATGCACACGTTGGTCACTTTTTCTTTATGTTTACAAATTACTGTTTAGTAATTGCCTTTTTTTTTAATACACATGATTTTCTTCTAGAGTTAATCATTTTACGTAAATGTAGTCGGATAAAATCATAGTATGTATTTAATCAAGAACAAATAAAATGTTTCCGAGTGTTTTGAAAACTAATTTTACGCGAGCGAAATCACAACCTTAAGCTAGTATTTGATAATAATATATATTAATAGTCTGATCATTAAAATGTATACGCGGCCATTTCAGTCTTTATATAATTTTAAATTGAATGTTCTAGTGTGAACCAAATGATTACGAGGCGGTAGTTAATCACCTGTACGAGATATTGTTCGCTGCCGAGATTACGAAAGAGAGGCTGCTAGTGTTCGCTCAGAGGTTAATCAATGATGCTGCTCAGGTAAGACAATTTTCCTTAACAACTGATTTTTTACTACATAAGAAGTGAGTCACAAGTACTAAATAATTCTGGTAGTCGGTTTAAATATGTACCTATTACGTACCTACATATATTAGAAGAGTTAAGAGTAAAACCGGACGGATTAAGAATACAGAGTGTCACCACCCCTATTCATCCCGTGGGTGTCCCGACTAAGGGAAAAAACTACGCAGAACAACAGCATTGCAGAGAGAAGGAAAACTTGACACAAACCCTTTTTTTTTTTTTTTTTTTAACGTTTGGAAATCCCCTCGGACCGTCACCCCTCCGGGGTTTGCGGCGGGGTGGTGTGTCGGACTCGGACCGACTAAAACCACACGGTGTGCCACTCTGCGCCTGTAACAGGAGGGATCCGGGAACAGCTGTTGTTAAGACATCCGGACCCCTCCTAGCGCCAGCCCGCTCCTGGTGCGGGCTCCGTCTCGATGTTGTTCCTCTCTTTAGGCGACGTCCGGCACACGCGGACGCCGCCCCCTCGCGGCTGGCCAAACTAATGCGGGTGGAGGGGAAACCCACCCCGTCCACCCGCGGCCACACTCAGGGCGGCATGAGGCTGTGGTAGGCGGGCCTCCGCCGCCCGGTTCGCCGGCGGCGGATCGGGTCCGAGTGGAGGTCGTCCTCCCGGGCCCTCTCCGCCGCCTCCTTCCGCGAGATTACTACCTCGCAGAAGGTTGCGACCGCGGTAAAACAACTGTCGCTACCGGCCATGGAGCGTACTACGGCCGGTAGCGAGAGATCCACTCCGATGACTGCAGTGAGGGCCCGGCGCTGCGCCGCCCATGCGGGGCAGACCGCCAGCGTGTGCTGGGCCGAGTCCTCACTGCAGTCGCAGTGGTGGCAGGCGGGACTCAGTTCCCTCCTAGCGACCGTGTGCAGGTACCTTCCGAAGCAACCGTGCCCGGAAAGCACCTGCGTCAGCCGGAAGGAAAGGGTCCCGTGCTGCCGCCCTGCCCACTCGGCGATGACCGGCTGGAGAGCCTCTACGGCGGCGAAGCCAGCGCGTGGAGTCTCCAGCCGGAACGACCAACGAGCCATCGTGGCTCGGCGAGCGGCTTCGCGCCACTCGCGCACATCCTCGGGCGGAGGGCGAAATCCGCTCTCCGCCCGGGAGTCAGCCACTCGCCGATAAACCTCGGCGAGCACTTCCGCCTCCAAATCCCACGGGGGAGTTCCGGCCAACGCGCACGCCACCTCCGTAGAAACGGTGCGGTAACCGCGTATGGCTCTGACCGCCATTACCCTCTGAGGGCGCCAGAGGCGTACCCTATTCTGGGCGGTCAGAGCCGCCGCCCACACCGGTGCACCGTACAGTGCCATTGACCGGACAACCCCCGTGTACAGCCGTCTTGTCGCGACGCTGGGTCCACCCATATTGGGCAAGAGTCGCCCTAGGGCAGACGCAGCGCCGACCAGCTTTGGAGCAAGCTGTCGGAAGTGCTCGTCGAAGAGCCACCTCCCGTCGAGGATCAGGCCCAGATATTTCATCTGGGCCCGAACCGGTACGAGGACCGAGTTGACCACGATGGAGGCGCCAGGGGGTGGACCACGACGGGGCCCATGAAATAACAGGGCCTCCGTCTTATCTAGGGCCACCCGTAAGCCCAGCGCCTCAATTCGCCCGACCACCAGGGAGACTCCCCCTGTGGCCAGGCGCGCCGCCTCTTGGAAGTTTGCCCCCCGGGCTGTCACCAGGGTATCGTCTGCGTAACAGATTACACCCAGCCCGGGGGGGAAATAGGCGCGAAGGGCCCAGTCGTACCCTATGTTCCACAAGAGGGGTCCAAGAACAGACCCCTGTGGAACACCGCATGACATGGGCCGACTCCTCAAATTACCTTCTCGGTCCTCGTACACGACGGTACGCTCCTCTAAGTAGTCTGCCACTAGCCGCCTCAGGTACTTTGGCACCCCATGATAGTGGAGTGCTTCCCTGATGCAGCTGAATGGCAGACTATTGAATGCGTTGGCGATGTCTAATGACACCGCCAACAGCACGCCGCCACAGCTCACTGCCTCTTCGGTCACGGCCCTCAGGCGCAACACGGCGTCGACCGTCGAACGCCCCGCCCGAAAACCAAATTGGGCGTCCGACAGATCGGGGCCCACCTCGCAGAGGTGCCGGACGATGCGGGCAGAAAGAACCCTCTCAAACAATTTGCCCGCCTCGTCCAGCAGCACGATGGGCCTATAGGCCGCGACCGAATCGGCAGGCCGTCCCGGCTTCCTCAATAGGACCAGCTTCCCGCTCTTCCAGCACTCAGGGAAGCGTCCCGACGCCAAGCTAGCGTCGAACACCTCCCCGAGGCGGTCTGCCATGTGGTTGAGGGCCAGGGCCAGCACTCGGGCCGGTACCCCGTCTGGCCCAGGGGCGGTGTTCTTGGAACGGATCCGTAGAACAGCCGCCCCTACCTCCGATTCCCGGACGGGCGGAACATTGTCCTCCCCGTGCTCCCCGTCGTCTCCGGCCAGGGAGGCCATCGCCGGGGGAGTGTGTTCCGCTCGTTGTGGGAAAAGGCCCTCAACCACTTCTCGCAGGAAGCTGGGCTGGAGAGTCTCCGTAAGGGGGGGGCCCGACGCGCGGAGCTTTTGTCGCAGCGCGCGGTAAGGGCGACCCCAGGGGTCACGATTAAGACCCTCCAGCATCTCCTGTCTTTTTTCTTCTTTGGCGCGGCTACCAAACCCTATGCCAACCCGTCAGGCCAGCGTGGTGTATTAGGCCAAAACCTCCTTTCTAAGGAGAGGCCTATGTCCAGCAGTGGACTATTAAAGGCTGTTTATGTGTGTGATGTGAAGAGTAAAACCCTAGTTATTTTAGGTACGAAGATCGGGTGACAAGATGATGTACGATTCACTCCGGGATTCGGTGTACAGCGAAGACAGCAACGTGCATTGGTGCACGGTACTGCGCCAACAGAAATTCCTCAAAGACCTCGTTGAACAGTTGAACGCCGGCGGGGACTCGGCTGAGTCGGCCTTGAGGGAAGCCAAACGTACTTTCACCAACATCACACGGAACGCTTGGTTACATTTGGCTACAGATTTCGATAGATACAAGCTGAGCACGGAAGTGTGGAAGAGATTCGGCAAATCAACGGCGACAACACCATCTCCGTAAGTTTTTTAATTGGAATTTAATAGGTAATATTTCTATCATCAAACTGCTTAAATATTTTGTACCACTCCACTTAACCGTTTTGTTATTTTCTTCTGTGAGAGGTCTGAATAACGTTTGGTGAAACTTTATTTTCCCTGTGAAGCCCTGTCCTGTACTGGGACGCGGAGCTGCTGTCCGGGTTCGGCGGCGGGTTCGTGATAGGCGTGGGCGGCTGGGAGTCGTGCTGCGTGGCGCACGTGTCGCCGGGCCCGCTCGGCCACCGCGCCCGGGACGTCGCGCCGCTCATGATCGCACTCAACTACTTCACGCAACTTGAGGTACCACATGCACTATATTTGCCCGCCGAGGGTTTACTAAAACTTGTACCATAAAATTTGTAAATTTAGCAACACCGACGGTATCAAATGTGAACTTCGACCATGGCTATTAACGGCCTGCTTAATTATAAAATTGTATTTCTATTCCCAGGGTCCGATGTGGCGCCTGATACGTGGATGTGGGCTGTCCTACGGCTACGCGATACGTCTGTCGCAGAACGAGGGGCGACTCATATTCTCTCTGTATAGAGCCAGCAACGCGGTGCAAGCTTACTGCAAGGCAAAGAGCATTTTGGTATGTGTACGAAATATATTATTGTTATCATTATCATCGACGGCCTTTAATAGTCCACTACTGGATATAGGCCTCTCCTAGATTTTGACCTACGATACCACGCTGGCCAAACGGGTTGGTATAGGGTTTCTTTGAAGTTTTCCTTCCCTTTGGGCAAAAGGGGTCATGAATTATCACCAAAACGGTCTTAATTCTAAATCCATACATATTGTAATGTATTTTTCTAAATTATGTAAGTATAATAATCGCTTTGGGAACGTCACACGTAAATAGCAAAAACAAATTGTACCCCTCGAAGACCGATCTGCTTATCACGTATAGCATTAGCCAACCACCAAAGCGTAGCAGATGCATATCTGCTACTGCTGCTATAAGAAGGAACTGGGTATATTTTAATTAAATAGTTACACATACATTTAGAAAGACGCCTTTGATACCAAATCGGCTCCGACGCTGTCGATGAAGCAAATTTTCTGTCTAAATTCATTTCATTTAGTTTCTTACTTGTTATTAGGAATTGTTTTATAAAATGTCTTCTAAGTAAAAAGACATTGTTTTTAACACTACGAGTATATATTTGTATCGACAGGATGAATACTTGAATGACGGCAAATTTGATGAGGATCTGTTCGCATCTGCAAAAAGTACCGCGTTATTTGAAGTAGTAGAAAATGAGCAGAGCCCCGCTGATGTCGTCAAACGATCTCTGATGAACTATCTACAACGGGAAGGCGAAACATACAACAGGTGAGTTTTTGTCGTTAAACATTTCTTCTTCGCACTTTAGATATGAAGCTACAAGCAGGCGACGGGTAAATTCAGTGGATCCTTTCATACAAGCTGGACGTCAGAAATTCTGATTTTAATATATGTCCTTAATTACCACTTACTTACGTAACATATATCATTACAAGTGATTGCCAATTACAAGTCATTAGCTAATTATGCTATGGGTAAAAGGTGAGTGATGGACAGTCGAATAAAATATAATTAGGACTTCTTAGATAATTTTATTTACCTGCGGAGAATAAAGGGTCAAAGCATAGAATAATTAAGTACAATTAAATTAATAATTTATTCTAAAAATATTTGGATGGTGATGATGGATGAACGACTGCATGTATGGATGGTGTTGTAGGTTCGATCCCCACATAGGACGACACTTTGTGTGATCCACAAATTGTTGTTCTGAGTCTGGGTGTTCTTTGTGTCCGTTTCATGTATGTTTGTAAAGTCCCCCGCTACAGAGGATATATTCCCAATGCCCCAACCCAATGGAGTTCTTTTTTAAAAAAAGTATGAGAAAAATAAACTATTATGTACTACAGTTTGGTTTATTTACAATTTGAATATAGTAGTCACTTACTGACTAAATATTTATACTAACACACCAATTTGAATTTAAATATTAATCGGAACCATCAGAAATCTGACACTCGGTGCTATCAGCAGCTCTGTAGTCTTCATTGTGAAATGACGTGGAAATCGCGGAGTCAGGTGACAATTGTCAATAAGAAAATCTACCACTTCTGCAGGAATCGATCTAGTATTCTTAAGTGGCGTTTCCCTGTACATATTGATAAGACGATACCAATAAGATATTTAATAAATCTCTATTGCTATTAACTAAAGGCGTTGTCTGTGTATTACACAAACGACACTTCTGTAGTGTTTGTTTCAAGCCTCTCGAGCTTCTTCTGAAAGCTGGTCAATAGGCACGATAAAAAAAAATTATTTCATCACCATGATATAGAATTTTGTGCATTTTTTTTTAAATTTTCATCTAATAAGGTTTTATTTTCGACTTCTTGTCTTGTCATAGTAGATTTAGACAGTACTTACTGCAAAATTCTTGTATTTTCTCCGTCTTGCTTACAGAGTCAGGGGAATCGAGACAATTTGTCCTAAAACATGAAAACAAAGTATGATGCAAACTCGTGTGAAGTCAACCAAATACTGATTTTAAATGTAGAGGGTTGTAGCTATAAATTGAAAGGTTTCATAGGGTTAAAATGGTATGCTCATATTTAGATTCTCTGTTAAAGTTAAGAATGGGAATTTTTAGACTTATGAAACAGTTATTCAATAAATTTTTTCGTCAAGAATAAAGAGATTACAAATCTTCAAACCATATCAATAAAAATAATAATACCTAATAAACTTTTTATTGCAGACCATGGTGTCTAATTTGTTAGTAACAATATTCTTAGAGACTAGTGTTAGTACAGTACATAAAGAAAACAAATCATAAAACAAAACAAAGAAAGATAGACATATATACACACACAACAATAATTGCTGCGCCATTCCGTACGCAATTGCGCAGCAACGATTGATGTAACCACAGTCAAGACGACCAGAGATTATGTTCAGGATACTGTTGACGCTGCCGCTATATAAAGTTAATAAAGTTCATACCTTTAATAATATACTTCATTTTTGTTTTTCACACTCAGGCACTTATAAAAATCGATCACAACTCAGAGACGCAGAAATTGTAAATTTTATTAAATTTTCATGTTACTTACTTTACATTACGTTTCTATCCTAATAAGTGACAACGGGGTGGAGGTAGATCCTCACATATAGTGTTTTTGAGATGGTTATCTGGAAATCATTAGGACTACAACAGAAAGTGTAATTAAGCACTGACTTTCCGTCGTCTAGCTTATTTGAAGCGATCCTCTGTGCGTCGCGTCTTCTGAGAGATATAACTGATGAAGGCAAAATAATTTTGTACTATAAAATGCTTTTCTCTCGCAAACCTCTATGACAAAAAGTAGTCATTCAGCTACATATAAATAACCATCTTCCCACAACACAACACACTGATTTCAGCCCAAAAAAAGAAATTATTTGATTACATTGTGTTTTTTAATAGTAGTTCATTACATTGAAATAAAAGTTTACTTGGTTTTAAATACAGGGATCTCGTCCAGGCGATATCAGTTGTCACGGAGGACGCAGCTCATGCCGCGGCCGTTAAATGGCTGCCGACATTGTTCGACGTAAATGTCAGCAAACTCGCTATTGCGTGTCATCCTGCTAAAGTAAACGATATGCACGTCGCCTTTGAAAAGTAAGTATTACTATTAACAGGAAGGTAAATAAACAACGACAAATGTAATGGTAAAATGACTTAACAAAGTATCCGTGTACATGATAAACACCACATCGATGCTATCGATCAATGCAAAAGGCATAGTCCAGTTTACATCCAGAGTGTTTCGAATCTGTCTAGTCAATTTATTTTCTCTAGTTAATTTCCCTAAAATTATGTATGTCGATACACATTTATGTTTGATACAAAGAACATTACATTTTAGTTTTATTAAGGACTGGGTAATATTTTTGATTTGATCTAATCTGATTGATTAGATTTTTGTCTTGTTTCTAAAAACATGAAACAGTTTACGTATTAAATCTTGTTATTACGATTTTATGATTTTTAGCTCTCATTTCGACGGGACGTGATGAAGGACTATTGCACTTCTCCATAGATCCGTTTTCATTTTATAAGATCCTAATAAATAAAACCTTTTCTTTCAGCATGGGCATCAAACTGGAAGCGTTCGAGTCGATGGAGGCGTCGCATTTTAATAAATAAGTACAAAACAATAGGTACTTTTTAAGTATACACGAATTAATTATTAAATAACTAGCACAAAGCATTAATGTTTTTAGGTTATATAAGCAGTGCAACTTTTGAATAAATAAATGTATAATTTTATGAACATATAACGTATATTGCGTGCCTGTTTTGCGTAAATTGAAATACGTACTAAAGGATACACCAATTATTAATTGTATAACCCTAAAAGCTATCCCTAATACCCTGAAAGCTATCGGATCTAATTATATTAAATACGTATACAATGTATTTTTTTTATTATCTATAATATTTTATAAATTATAACCGAATATAAACATAATCTGATTATCCGACAAGGAAGTTAAATAAGGTAAACAATAACTAAATTGTAAATTGCAATCCTAGCCGATACACTTAGGTGTAAACTTATTCTTGAAGGTGTTTTTACACCGGCGAGACGAGGCGTGGATGGGCCGAGCGAGAATTGAAATTTGTATGGCACAATTTATATCTACGTCCATCTTTGGTGTAAAAAGTATGTTAGTTATATGTAAGTACAATTCTTTCTTTTATAAAACAGATCGGACCGGCCATCGAGGACCCGTATGGTCTTTACGTCAAGCGATGTCTCGTGCCGGCTCGCTCAAACCATCGCGAGACATTACTGTATACTATAGGTACTCCAGCTCCCAGTTTTACTTACATATTTTTCTCAGTTTTATTGATTGTTAAACAAATCTAAAACAAAATAGAAGTACACGGCTCACATGGTTGCCCACTCAATGTAGGTATGAATTACAAAGCTTTAATTAAAAGCAAAAAAATATTAACAAACAATTTAAAACATTCTAAGATGTTTTTATAACTAGGGATATAATACTTTACTATTAAATTAATACGAAAAAAGCATAATACATATACTTAAAATTTACATTTAAACGAACGGGACAGCAATTGCTCTCCATAAAACGTGCGTGCTGGCCGGCGCGAGGTAGCGATGGCCGGCGCGTGCCAGCGCTGGATATTTTTCGGTGTAAAAGGGTAAGGGGAGAGTGATCCCAGGAGATCCCCCTATAAACTCTTATAACTTTTGAACCCGTGACCGAGAAATTCTGATATTGGCGACAAATTAGCGACAATTTTTTTGTGTTATACTATTAAAATCTATTATGGTGGCCAAGCCAGTGTCAAAAACAACCTCAATGCGCTTCTTTTGCAGGGGGAACGCTGTGACAACAGCAGGCATTTAAAATCTAACAAAGTAGGTTTCATATCGTTTCGGGAGCTCTAACCTAAGGCTCGCTCTAAATCTGAACCGATCACATGCTTCATGATCATATGGTAGCTTTGTAGTACTCGTCGAAGTACAAAGTATACAGTTTGTATACTGTTATACTTTATTATTATATACTAGCTTGTGCCCGCGACTTCGTTCGCGAGAAATTTGAAAAGCGCTGCCTTACTGGGTTCGATTTCCGGATTGGCCAAATTTTAATGGTTTTTCTGGGAGAAAAAATAGCCTAAGTTACTCTTTATATAGACAGCTGTCCGATAGTAAAATATTATCAAAATCGGTCCAGACGTTTTGAAGATTACCCAAACTGGTTTTTAGTCATGGCAAATAACCGTGTGAGCATGAACAAAACCTATTATTTTGACATTACAGACATTTCCATCTTATTTATTTGCATAGATGATGAAAAAAAAATGTATTTTACCACACACAGGATATGTTCCTATTGCGGGAGTTATCTCATTAAACAAAAAAAACATACCCTGCTGTAGGAAATACGTCAAATAGGCTTTATTCTTTTCTACTCGTATAAAATAATATTTAAAGTTCTGCGACGCTTCGTGCACTCACAATGCATAACGAGCACGGGTCTAATCGTGTGCATCTGGATCGTCCTTAGCACTTAGATCAATGTAGATCATAATTTAATCGGTCTCTCCGTCAAGCGATATTTACTAACTCATCAAACTTAGCGGCATCCTCAGAACTGGTACTAGTCTAGACAAATTCTATCAAGTTTGCAATAACTCATATACATAGGGTTGTTTACTATGAAGTGCTATTCGAAATACTGGTTACCTCATAACCCTCACACCACACTTAGGTACCTCAATTTTATTAATAATAAAATACCAAATTTATTGTGATATAATTTTAATCACCATTTATGAAACTTAAAGCTATGTATGTCAATACAAAAAATATAACTTAAATTTAGACAGATAATTAGTGAACATCGTTATAAATCATCTCACAACCGCTGCAACATCATCATATATTTCGAACCCGTCCATATAATAGTAATAAAGTTGCTCAACAATTCTTTATAACAGAAATACTGGCTGTTTAACATCAACTAACACTACAATGAAACGTAAAAACCGTTACTCTAATCTCGGTATTTACGTAATGAATTAATTAGACCACAGAATATACAACTATAGTCCATTCGTATTAAGAAAATAGTGACGCATCGATCAAGCCCCGCACCCTGACACTAATTAGGTTTCAAGCTCGTGCGAAACTATAATTTTTCTAACCTAAGGGTCAGGGGGTGGGGCTTGATCTATGCGTCACTATTATCTTAACCCGAATGGACTTTATGGACACTAAATTGAGCTGTCTACACACCCAGACAACCTTTACTAAGTTTTTTAAACTATATATAATTTTAACAATGTCGATAGATAGGCTGTTTTATAATAAGCAGGGAATTAAGTCTGTTATTATTTTTTTCAGCTAGTTGTGGAATCATGAGTTCCCAAAATGGAGCTAATGAAAAGTACAATGGCATTATTTCACAGAAAATGAATCAGAAATCTCATTTGCAATAATGACTTGCATTTAACTATGTATTATGAATGCCACAGCCGCACTATAAACAATACCAAACATTAATTCTTCATTTCTTATACAAATATTTTTTTAGACACAGGACATTATGAAGAGTCAGCACTTTAAAACTGAACTTAGCTCTCAATACAACATCATATTACGTAATCTTTTTATAGTGATTTAATACTGGTTAATTTTGTTAGTGCATTGTTTGAAATTGCGCGGTTCTTCTCACAAGGTACGAAAGAATATGGCTTTACAATATACTAGTATCATTTGCAACCGCAGTATGTAGGCCATTCTAACCGTTTATGCCACCACCCACTTCTGGTGAGGTACATATTAAATATGAAATATAAATTCCTCATCTAATACATAATAAAAAAATATTTAACATGCAAGATATATTTAGTTTATTTAACTTTATATACTAAATCGTAATGAAAATAATATATATGAAGTCACGTTCTATTCAAGATTTACTGTGCATATTTGATATGCGTAATATGTAAATAACGCATATTAAACACAAATATTTATATTTGAGAAATATATGAAGCATAATTTTGTTCATAGAGATAAGGAGTACGTAATATTCTTTTCATCACTGACTCAGTAGATTCTTATTAATATCCATTAAATATAATATTAAATGTACTTACGTGCTTTGAAGAGAGATTTGGTAAATGTTAAAATTACACATATTTATTCTAAAATTAATTTGCTATGAACATCTACCTGACGATTATAATTCCCTAATAAATGAATGACTAATTAACGTTAACATATTCTACGTAATAAAGAGGCGGCCCCATTTACACTACCTTACAATATGTAGTTCGCAATATATAATATGTATAAAAGTTATAAGTGACGCCGCTGTTATGATGTGACTCGCAATACCTGGGCCTCAATTCTGCTATTTTAATATTGTATCAATAGACTGTCGATGGATTCTCGTCGGAATAGTTTTGCACTTGTATTCCAATAAACTATGTAAAATGAATGGCCTCCCGATGACTTGTCACTAAACAACACTTATACAAATGTTGTCGCTGTCTTTGTAATAGTGTGGCAGACAGACGGTACATTTTAAATTTGTATAGAAATGAAATATTTAATTTACCCGATATGGCAATGTTGTTAACTTCATCATTGATGAGCCATTGTCACTATATCTACAGTCTATTGACACTGAATTTAGGTTAGTAGAATACCGATATTTTGACCGATGTCAATGGCATAACAATAGCGTGTCAATGGACTTACAGTGGCTTGTACGTTGACATAAAAAAGCAGAATTGAGGCCTAGGTAGTAGGTCCAGTTCGTTCATTAAAGTGATAAAATAATACATTTTAGAGTTATCAAGTAAACAGCAAATAATTATATGTTTAAATAAGCATTTTATTTTATTCTACATTATTTATTTTGCATAATTATTCCGAGTTCATGGCCTTCACGAGATCTTTTAAGTCTTACTTGTCGGACTAATTTCGTCTTTAAATGTACTTTTACTGTTTATTTGATAAACATCAACAGGATGTCAAGGTCAGGCAGCGGTCACGCGCAAATAACTGAGGTATTAAGATTAAAATCTGGACTCGACTTTGATCAAAATCACTCTGCTAGCCCGACGTCCGCTCAAGCAAACCCTTTAATCGAATAATCCTAATTTAACGGTCGATAGCAACAGAGCTTAACCTCGACATTCGATAGGCAAATGGTTACTTCTTAATAATAAGTTCTATAATAAGATATTACATAAACAAAAATAAAATGTTAGGTACATAGCTGCGCTAAGGTTCGTATCCCTCGCAGGTCCGCTGTCGCCGATTACAGGCACACCGGATCTAAATCCCTTATCTAAATATCAAGAGGTAAAAGTCTTAAGGTACAGCCGCCTTACCACACATTAACTAATGAAGACGCAGTAAATCCATTTATTGTGTTAACATTTTAAATTCTAACAACAGGGTTCTCTTATGAACATGATTTGTACAGGTGCTTTTCAAGGAAAACTATTATACACAAAAATAGAGAAGCCCTATTATGATTTGACGATTAACACTAAAAGGGTCACGCAGTCAATTTAACGGCAAAATTTACTTAATAAAACCAGACACAGTAACCTCCTGTCGTAACCTTATATTTGTAGATATTACTAGTGCCTTCTCGTTATAATTAGTTCGACCTTTTTAATAAAATGAGTTTTTACGATTTCGAAATGCACAAGATCTCTCGGGTGATGAAAGTAAAGAAAAACTTGACATAGAAGAGAAGGACAACTTGACCAAACTCTTTACCAACCGTCTGGCCAAAAGTAGGCCAAAACCTACTTTCTAAGGAGAGGCCTATGTCCAGTGGTGGACTATAAGAGGCTGTTGATGATGAGACATACTGTCAGCAAGTCAGCGCCAGAAATTTCTACTCTGAATTCAAGTTATTTGGACACAGTAGAAGACCAGAGTGGCTAATTCTGGCAATATATATCGACGTGTAACATTTCTGTAAATCTCCTTTATTTTTAAAAGTGGGCACTACTGACCTTATACTTCATTAATTAGAGATAGATGAAGACCTCTCTTACAACAGCTTACTAAAAAACTAATTGCGGCTATTTCTATAACTTCCAATCTTCATTTTCCATGCTTTATACTGCTTTTCCACCTTCATCTCATTCACTAATTTGATATTCACACACACTTTGTTTAATTCTTCGCTCTCTTATCATTCTCCGCAAAAAAAAAAAAAGTTCATAATTTCATTTCATTAAAATCGTCTCTTATTTGTATGTCGATCGGAACGGTCAAGATATAGCATGATATGCGACACTTGTAGTGTTAAGCGTCTTGTCGTAACTTACAAGTACTAAACATTTTGACAATATTATTCCTCAATATATTTAATTAAATGGTGCTAAGAGGCTGCTGTGGTATTGAGCTACGTCTACATCATGTTGGCATCGGCCGTGGGCCGTGCGTGGTTACGCAGCGCATCCCGAATATAACCAGAAATGTTCGCTTCGGCGACGAGATGGAAGAAGAAGAGGTGCTCGAAACTCTTGAGCGATATAGAACGAAGCGCAGGCAGCCGTAGCAGTAATGCTGCGAACCGGCCATCGTCTGAAGCGTGCGTCCGGTTCAAGTACTCATCGAGACAAGAGAACATCTGTAACATACCAAACAGTAAATTAGTTTTAATTATATTCGGGATAAAGACTAATTTATGGTCAATAAATTTGAATGAACACAAAAACGATTTTTTCGTGAAGCTATCTAGAAGGTGGTGTGAATCGCAGGAAAGTTTTGAGCCGCATGTCAACCTCATGTTCACTCATTACCAACTGGTACACCATTAGAGGTTTTTGTGTATAGCCAAGGCTTTTGTGTTATGCCTCTGCTCAACACCAGTATACTATATATAGTAGTAAAGTCCAATGGCGATGTGCTGTAGAGGGCAGGTCTAGTCCACACATTTTCCTCGACTTTCAAGTTACTTTAAAAATGCAATCAAAAATGGGCGTATGATATAAAAACAAATTGGATTTACCTTTTCTCGCAAAACATCAACCTCCTGTCTGTTCTTCAGTCCTTTTACGTCTGAAAAATAAGAAACAGGCAATTAAAATTTTCCGTTCTCGAAAAATATTTATTACAAAAAGCCAGATTAAGGGGAATTTATACATCATAAGCAATAGCATTTAATAGTCCACAGCTGGAGTAGGCCTCTCCTTAAAAAGGAGATTTTGGCCTACTATACGCACTGGCCAGACGGGTTGGTAAAGGGTTTGTGTCAAGTCCTTCTCTTTGCAGTGTTGTACTGCGGAGTTTGGTCCCTTATTCGGCTCTTACAAAACCCACGGGTAGGACACTCTTATTCCTTCTCACACTCATTCTCACACTTATTCCGTCACACGGTGACTAATGCATTTAAATTTATCCTGCAGCTACAAATATCAAGCGTTCTTTTGAATTTCTTATATTACGCCCGATTTGTTTAAAATGAACAAAAAAATATCACCTATTCTGACTAGATTGAACTTATCAGTGCTACTTACTGTAAATGCGGGAAAACAACATTAATTAAGTGTGTAATACTGACCAGGGTTAAGTATTATGATCGCCTTGAGGGCGACGTACTCTGCGTGGTCTACGCGAAGCGTGCGCATCTTGAGCGAGAGCTCTGACAATACACGGTCGAAGATCTGCCCGACGCCCGCTTGCTGCGCTGAGTTGCGGTGTAATGTCATACCTGTAATATCAAAAAACTCGTATTATAAATTATAAAGACCCTGACTTTGGAGGGGGGGATTGAGAGAACGGTCGATGTCCATGGGCGACGGTAGTCACTTATCGATTCGATTCGAATGATTTTTTGTATTAAATAGTGTTTATTCACTGAGGAATAATATAGACCAAAAAAAAACGGCGTTAGGGGTGTATGGATTCCCGGTCGGAACGAAGTTCCTTTCGCTTTGTGATATTATATCTTTTACACCTACTATATTATACTTTCATTAAGAATTTTGTTAAGAATGGGTATGTTATAGTTACTAACTAAAGTTTTTGATTAAATCTTTTAAAAATCACATTTTTTTTGAATAGAAATAATTCAGTTTATTTTTATATTTTGAGTATAATTAATCAGGTACGTAGTAGGTTGAACTACTTCATATAAGTCGGGAGAGGTAGCAACCAACGGAAAACGACCTCCTCCAAATGTTATTCCTGCTGATGCGAATAACTGTAGTGGCTTAATGCACGTATTGAAACTGGGCATAGGTTCCAGAGATATGTTGAGACGCAACATTTCTGTTACTAAAGGCCTGGTCCAAGGATCTTATCCAAATTTAAATGGCCTGCCTTCGCCGTGATTAAATAGAATCAGGCGAGCTAGCCGATTCGGTTTTTATAAAATACTTGCTATACCCTGTTACGTTGGTATGTTGCAAACTGCTATACCGTAGTAAGTATCAATAATCCCTTAAAAAAAAACCGACTTCAAACAGTAAGTAGTTAGAAGAGTTTCGTTGTGTCTCTGAAACTCATCATCAAATCAATATTACAATTTAAATGACCATTTTTGAATAAACCCCGTTTGAACAAAAAAAAAAGGATTTTGAAAAGCCGTCTACATATGTCGGAGTTAGCTAGAACATACATAAAAAAACATATCCGTTACATATATACATACATACATACATACCAAGGTCATAAAAACATGTTCAAAAAAGAAATTCATATAATAACTACTTAAAGTTACTTACTTTTTGTAAATTATTTATTGATTTCAACATTTTAATATATTTCCTATGTACTCTATTTTTGTTTTTTGTCATTTTGTTTTAAAATAAAGTACCCTTTGTCATTCGTTAAAGCATTTAGCCTTATGCCTTATTTAACCCATGTACATTGTCATCACATAAAATCAGTAGGTACTAATGGAAAAGTTGCGTGGTACTGAGTGCTAAGTTTTTTTAATAATCGCTTTTTTTTTGGGACTAATCCCACCCACACGCCCACCACTGTAACTCCTGTACACCAGGATCCACAGCAGTGACCCACGAACACACCGAGTTATGACACTCGGGAAGTCCCAGGAAGAAATTAAACTGTCTTGGAACCCGCAACGAAATTAATCAGAAGAAAATTGGAGGAGTTGGAAATACAGTAAATCCACTTCCCTCCTTAGCAAAGCGGGAGACAAAATGAAGTAAAATGGGCATACACCCTTTTAAACAGGGAAGCACCACGGCCACAAAATATTACGGGTCCTACGTGAGCTATATTTGATTTCTATAATATGTATGGCAGAATCGCCTAAACGCACGGAAATTCACCCTAGTTGACACAAGATCCCCATAGTATAACGCCCCAGATGTCACCTGCAAGGTATTCAGCATTATATTACGTTCATTATACCAAAGACTACATTCCCAGAGGATATGATGAGCAGACTATTGTGAGAGTTAGGTGTTGAGCATTGACACAATGGTGACTCGACTAATTTAAATAAATAAAGCTTGCTCTTAAAGTTACCATGACCCGTAAGAAATTGAGCGACACAGTGATCCACCTCAAGCCATGTCCTCGACAACCGTTCGCCATCTTTACCAATTCTTTCCATCTAGAATTGGTAAAGATGGCGCCCCTTGGATGATTCATCCCAGCGTTGTTGCCATTCGTCTATGAGGTCATTATAGACATCGGACTGCTGTTGAAGCAATCTTGTAATTTTACCGCGATCCCGCGCGCCCAAAAAATCGCATTCCATGTTTTGTTGTCTTGAATAGTAGTACATGGCTGCACGTCTCTGCACCTCGAGATCGACCGGAAGCACACCCGCCAACACCGGCAAAGCCTCAGTGCTAACCGTCTTATATGCCTTGCACAAGAGTATCAGTGCAAGTCGTTCGCCTTGTAACAGTTTGCGACGGACAGCGCCTACTAATAATAATCGCTTGTGTATTATTTTGGAAGAAGGTGGTTTAGATATTATCATATGGCATATCTTAGCTTTATGTTGAAAACTGTAATTACCGGTACTCCCCTTAAAATCATATTTATTATTTTCTCTAAATTAAAGTCTACCAACCCTATTTGCTTTTTTTTGTATCCTTGACAATGTGACTTGACCACGGCCATGAATACTAATTAAAAACATACCTGGCATTAGGCACATAAGCTGTGGAGGCGACGCAAGTCTGCTGCTCGCTCCATCCACATTCTCTCGCTCTTCAGTCAAATACTGGAAACAATCGTGACATATTTAAATGCTTGAAACTTTTATTGTACTTTAACTCACCACCATATATTCGAGATCAGTCGATCAGATCGAGTAAACAGTAACGGTGGATTAAAATTAACTAAATAATTATTACTGGGTTTTTCTATTATCCGAGACATTTTTCTTTTAGAACAATAATATTAATTTTAGTTTTTGCAAACGTCCACAAACCATACGATCTTCGCTAATTCGATAGGCATTAATTTAGTGTTGGCGAAAAAAAAACAACTTACTTCCATTGAGCGCCAAGCTATAGCGAAGAGTAGGAGTTCGTTCCATGAGCCCTTGATGAGAAGCACCTGATCTTCTAACTCCAACTGATTAAAGTGCGGTATGTTTTGGGCCCACGCTACTAGTGCGGCTATCTGCTTGTTGCCTATAAACACAAAACAGAGAGAGAGCTTTATTGTGTGATGAAATTTAGTAAATTATAAATATTATAAAAAATATTTAGTAAAATTATTATATTGATAATTCCCGTGCTCCTTTAAATACATTAAAGCATTATTTTAAGCTTTAACCTATTTTAGCTTTAAATTACTTATAATGCTTGTTATTTATAAAGCACTAGTTTTTGACTGCGGCTCCGCCCGCGTAAATTTCGGTTATCGCGGTAAAAAGTATATGTCTTTCCTCAAGAAAATAAGTATCTCCATAACAATTTTTATCTAAATTGGTTTAGCTGTTCTTGATTTCCCATACAAACTTCCACCCCCGTTTTCACCAACTTAAAGTATCATTTCTGGGACAAAAACTACCCCATGACTCATTTCCCGGGACCCGGACTATCTCTTTACCATATTTCATCTAAATCGGTTCAGCGATTTATGCGTGAAGAGGTAACAGACAGACAGAAAGAGAGACAAACAGACACCTTTTCGCATTAATAATATTAGTATGCATATTTAGGGGTTTTGTTTTGGATGGGCCGTGAAAGATAACGGAAATTGTTTCTACAATCTTAAATTTTAACAAAACTTCACAAATTCATATTTTCAAAACTACTAAGTATTTCCAAGTGTTAAGAATTGCAAAGCCAGATCTGTTATTACGTAAGTCTTTAGTATCAAAATGTAAAAAATTGGTTTGTTTTTAAAGGATGTGGAGTTAAGTGAGTGGAGTTAATTAAGTGATAGTTAAGAAGATATTTAGTTTCTCAAATCAATACACATAAGTACAAATGCAAAAGAATCACTCCACATAATCATTTCAATTAATAACAACCCTTGTTTTGACAGAATAAAGTCAGTCAGTCGCTGGACAACATCATCTGCTTCATGAATGTGAGATAAAAAGGATTTATACAACAGGTATGACGAACTGTGTTGAAAGTGGCAGACCTATGTGTGCGATTCGAGCGTGTTTCTTCGTATCAAGATAATTTTGTTATGAATAGCTAATAATAATTATAATACTGCCGCAGTGCCACTCCTTACAGTTCCAGCCCAAATAAGTTTATGTAAATATTATCAAAATAATGGATAAACCGGTCGCATCATATTCATAATGACAATAACATATATTTATCATGATGTCAGCTATATTACTGCCATATTCTTACCGACTCTACAGATTAAAAAAAAAAAGAAATTAGATGTATTCATTCTGAATAATGAACTTATTCACCTAAGTATAGTTTATTTACAAAGACAGAAAGCGGTGTACTAAAAAATCCGTTTAAGGAACAAATTGGTGATATCCGGAAAAAAGGTCAAATCAGAAATATGCCTGAACATGATAGTAGAAGAGTATTATCGAGCATCTGTTAGAAGGGGACTTTGTGTCTGGTAATCCCGAAAAGGGAACAGCGTTAGTATTCAGAATGTATTGAATTGCAGTATTGCGCATTAAATATGCTATGATCACATACATATGTGCAGTATGTTATAAAAATAATCTAACAAGGCATTCATTCGTTTTTTATAATGCACGATGCTAATGTTGAGTCACAATTTATAATAGTATTTTCTAGATCGATAACTTGCCTATAGATATAGTAATACTCAAGTTATATGCAGATGCATACAACTTGAGTATTATTATCGCAATAGTGATGACATGAATGATTGTTATCGATTAGCTTTCTATGATAACTGAAGTGAACAGTGTTTTTCTAATCTGAAACTGAGGAGTTTCGCTTGCTTGTGATGACAAGTAGAATTAGTGAGTAATGGGAGTATTCATAGGTAGGCTAAACGTTTTTGACAAGTGATTTTATGACACTCGAAATACAGAACAACTTGATCCTTGATAACAATCATCAAATAGCAGCTACAGGACCTACGAGTATGTCAGCTGAAGAACAAGGAAAAAACAAACTCAATTATTTTTTATTAAGAAGACCTTGTTACTGTGCACCTTCAAACGTCAGTAGTACAATCACAATAGTACAATTAGTACAACAGGGCTAAAATGACCCTGATGCTAGTCACATGTGCATGCAGCACACACATTACTATCTTAGTACTAGAACAGCACATACTACTAGCGTAGTGTTCTGTTATCTATTTTATAATAAGTGTGTTATTTTTCTAATGCGTAATAGGATTACCGGAGGAGGGGGTCTGGTAAAGCGCTGTAGAGAATATGTATTGTGCGCATTCATACCTTACGGAACTACTTACTATCAGTGCTTTACTTCTTTAAACGATCGTTATATTCTATATTAGATAAAACGTAGATGGATTATAACTATTATGATTTAAAACGTCAAGTTAGAGACAGTTTAATATGATGAAATAAACTTTTACAGGATTGGATGATTAAGTATAGCTTAAACTTGAGACAATTTACGCGTTATTTTTTATTAAGAGAAACCCTAAGAGATGAATACCAATATGTACAATCAAAGAGGAAATTGTCTTATTTATGAACGTTTGCTTTAAGCCTGCAACGGACAATGACTGATAAGCTATCATTAAAAGTTATAGATATTGTCACATTAATTTTAGGTAAGCTGGCTGGTATCATACGATATCGGTTCAAACAAATAACTTTATCAGGATATAATCAGAAAGTGAAAACAAGTTTATAGTTATAAACAAAACAAATATATTCCTAGAATTACATTGCAACTGTTCAAAATATTGATAAATAATAGCCTAGTCAGCTGGGTAAAATACGGGTTAATTCTTGTTCGCAATCCTAAAAATATGTGCGATAGCTCATTCGATTCGACATGACGTTTAGAAAAAGGTATCTCGAGCATTTATTAGCACATACAAAATTGCAATTGTTATTTACCAATGAAGATAAAAAAATATATTCAGTTTTTCTTTTTTAATAACTCAAAACTATGAATATTTAAAAAATCTTGAATTTTAATAATTTTTAACTTGTTGATTGAACTAAAATGCTTGGCATTATGTATTATCATCGAATGTAAAAACTTCTTACGTGAAATCTTAAAAAATATAATAATTATGACAATTCATATTATCATTAGGCAAACCTGCTTTCATCATAAGAGTTGCGTGAGAAAGAGAATATAATTATGATTTAAGTTCGTTTTTATGTAATTTTCAGTATTGTAAAGCAGAATTTCATTTATTTGCTTATTTACTCCTGGGATCTATTAGACATGACACTATATTTATAATTCGTCGAATTGTAAATATAGTGCAAGTGTAATAATAAATACAATAAATATACTTTGCAATAATAAGTAGCCGCAAAGGTAACTAGTATATCCACTAAAATTACTCGTGTGCCTTACAATCCAGTACAATTTTGCAGGAAGTCCTTTAAAACATTGTTCGTGCGTTAATTTGACTAGGTATTAAGGAGACCCGTGACTACAAAAAAAATGTTGGTCAATGTTAATGCATCTCAACCTGTTTACAGGTTGAGTCACGGTGATTACCTTGGGCGTTAGTAAATGATGATTCACCGCTGTCCTGTTCCATATTTCTAAAACCAAAGGAATAATTATCTACATCCTAAGCTAGTAGACAGTTTGGAAACAGGTTATAATACAGCCTAAACTCGCACCTGATTACAATTTTACAGTACAAAGAAGTTCTTTACATACCTAACAATCTGTAAACACTGGTAACATTCATTTACCGAGAAATGGGAATAACAATCTATATACGTTTCATTTGCCTTTACTCAATTTCATGAGGATAAAGTTCGAAAATAATCACGATTGTATATCCTTTATACAAACGTGAATTTTGCATGAACTTGGTAGGCATCTGACCTATTCTTTAAAATGTTTATATCGAGTATCGTTTGATGTTACAAAATCAATTAGTCTTTGGCAAAGTAACGATCTAAATAATTATTAAAGTCCATGTACTTTCAAGTCACGTAGGTACACCTAGCCACTGAATTAGAACACAAAGAACCTGCCTAAAATGTTATTCGGCATAAAGGTAGCAGTATAATAATTCAAACAACATTTTGTAGATACAAATTCAGACGCCATTTTAAACCAGTTTCAAATTATGTATGTCATTGTAATAATGTTTTTATGTACATAAATACATATCAACATACCGAAGTTTTTATATCTCGAGAATTTTATTTCTGCGTTACAATCTCTACTTATTCGCGTCATCATACGTCAATGGTCTTGGATGGTCACGAGTTGCCTTTTTAAGACGTTTTGTCCATTTTATTACGCCCTTGATACATAATGGAAGTACTGAACTAAAATCTGAGTTATATTCTCGGAGAAAATTGAAAGATTAACATTTTGAATAAGCAAATGCAACTGCCTTTTATTGTTAATTATTTTAAAGAGCTATAATAAAAGATTTAAGTTAAGGGAGATTGTTTGTTACACAACAGAATCTTCACTTTCCCCATTGCATTATGTACCCTTTGTTAGAACGGGCGAACGAGAAACGCTTTTATAGAAACCGGTTTTCTTCAGTTCTGCTTTTAACAAAAAACATTGCATTATAAGCAATTTTAGAAACATTGTACTATAGATATAGAGATGTACACAATTTTAATTTAATTTCATATAAATAAAATAATTAGTTTTGTAATATATTGACTGTAAGCTATTTTTATGATATTCGGTTTAGCCACAGTAACAGACTTCCCAAGCAACTTAAATTGTATTAATTCTAGGGCTATCTTATTTTTTTCTTAAAAAGCACGCTCAAATATTTTTTCATGTTTACAGTCTATTACCGATATTACCTAAAAACTCTCTCTTTACTCCAACGCAAGGTACCAACAGATAAAAAATAATCTACAAATTGACGGGCCTGTTGGTCTAGTGGTTCACTAACCACTAGACCAACAGGCTGACTGCTAAACCGGAGGTCGTGGGTTCAATTCCCACACAGGACAAATATTGTGTGATGAGCACGATCATTTGTTCTGTGTCTGCGTGTAATTTATCTATAATATGTATCTATTTAGAAATAATTAAGTATTTTTATCAACAGTCTGGTTACCATAGCACAGAGTCTGCCCAGTTTGGGCTCAGAAGGCCGTGTGTGAGATTTTTTATTATTATTATATAATCTATATTCAGCTGTGTTGACTAATCTTTCAAATTTGATACGCTAATAGTATAATTCTGTATTCAATGCTGAAATTTCCAATGTTTGCAAGAAAATGATTATAATTAAAAAAATCTATTGGGTAGGTTATCTTCATATACATTTTAACTCAAAATACACAAGTATGTCACATTACGAATCGTCATCCTGTAACCAGCATAATCATGGTGAATTGCAATGAACTATTCTCAAGCACGACCATCGATCGTAATTTTAATTTCACGTAACATTTTTATTTTCGACAAGCTTGTTTTTTCTACTTCATAACTAGTTTCAACAACCATTTTGTTCACACGTTGATCTTGTTTTGTTTACGAAAATGAAAACAAATTGAATAACTTGAGAAGTTTTTAACTTTATTTATTGCTACGTACCTGAAATAGATGAGAAACGATGTTACAAACAAAGTAATTGGAGCTATATTTTACAAAGCGGACAACTTTGAATAGGATAATAGATAATATATCTAAAAACGACCAAACAATTTTTTTAGGGTATAAATAATCACAGGTACACAATTTGAAATTGGATTTACGGTTAGCTCCTTTTAAAACATGTCATTAAATCCTATCTGCAATAACAATTTAACTATGTAACTTTATCATTATGTATATCTAATTAAACGATTTGTCAACCTTTTCTAAGATTTTGTGATTACTATTAAGAACCGAATGCGGTTGTTGAAATTTCAAAAGGTTGGGCCCATGAGTGTTCTCCGTTCCAGTGTAGTAAATTGACACCAATAGTGGGCACAGCTATAATATTGAAGACCTAAGACATGCATACATGCCTTGAATATTGACCATCACCCCTACATGTAAAATTATTTTACTATAAGATTAAGAATATATAATAATATTAAGACTATAAAACATCTTGTTGGGTCAACGGAAGTGGATGAGTGACTAAAAAGAAAAAGAAAAGCCAGATAATTCTAAAACAGTATGGAATGGTGCACGCTATAAAAATAAAAAACGCTAGTGAAACCTTGGGTTCAGATAGTAAACAAGGTATTGAATGTTCATATATTATATAAAAAGAGTTAATATTATTCAATTTAATTTCCCTCACACTGTACACTATTAATTTTGATTTCCTATGTGCTGTAAGATTCTGATAGACCAATAATCTTTTTGTAAAATGATACAATAGAATTATTTGTGCAATGGTAGTAGTTAAGTACTTTTTTAAGAAGTAAAAACTTTTGTTTTAAATAAGAAATAAATTACTGACTTCTAAGCCCCTAATAACAATATTTTTATTACTTATATATTTCACGTGTGGATATAGTTAGCATATCTGCATATCTACGTTATACCTGTACGTTGTTGATTGTAATATGAAGGTTAAGTCATTATTACAGATTTATTAGCAGATGTTTAGTCATATGTAAATTCAGTCTTTATATGTTTGTGTTAACAAATCTTGAAATGTAGTTGATTTAATTAAGTATTTCAAATTTTAATAACGTTGCATTTCAATTTAAAATTCATCGTCAAACATAAAAATAAAAAGGTAAAGAAGTAGATTAAACCACAGAGCGAAGCATGACCGAGATCAGTATTAGCTGTAATGAAAAAGAAACGTCTTTTTCTTATTTTAATAAAATTAATAATGTCTTAATTCATTTTTATTAAACAAATAAGTTTTTTTTTAAACATAAGGTTGTGTAGGAGTCGATGGTAGATGTATCGTAAAAATGCATTGGTAGTGGCTAATTGTGATAGGCTTAAGTTTATAAATACCTATTTGACAAAGACTAGAGACAGGTGCACGAAACTTGGGTGGTACATTGCTGTCAGGACCCACACGTAGAAACTGGAATTCTTCAGTAGGGTCAGACACCACAGATTCTATTTCCAGTAACCGTTCGATTGACAACTCCTGTAAATAGAAAACATTAATATAGCCACATTGTCACTTTTGCACTTCATATGCAATAACAGGTAGAATTAAAGTAATTTTTGATACTCTTATACGAGATGATATTATGTATGTACAGCAGTAGTATCCCGCTATTTACTTCTATTTCTTCTACTTCGTTTGGTGCGTATCAAAGTAATGAGATGTCAAGAGGTGGATCGTTTCGTCGCCCTAATTGATTAGAAAGTACTGGGAGCACAGACACCCCACCTGCTCTCGTTTAGCAGTTGCTATAATTATTGGCTTATGGGTATTTTGTACGAAACCGCAAAGGCCGACAACTCCAGAGTTCAGGCGTCCATGAGCGGCGGTGGTCACTTTTCATCAGGTGACCTGTCTGCTCGTTTATCACAAAAAGAAAAACCAACTCTAATATAGTCCTACATGTATGTATAGTTATACCGTGTGTGTGTTCATGTGTTTAACCTATGTTCCCGTACGTGATATTTGTCGTAGTACTGTTACGAGCGGGGTATACAATAAATAAAAGTTAATTACTTTTAGTGCACTGTATTTACAAACAAAACCTAGTATGTTATAGTAGGCCAAAACCTCCTTTCTCAGGAGAGGCTTATGTCCAGCAGTGGACAATTAAAGGCTGTTGATGATGATGATGATGATTTACAAACAATCACTATAACAAACAAGAAATCACTATATAACTCGTTAGCCGCACTAGAAATACACTTCGATGTTAATTCGCTGTGTGGTAAAGCGATACTGTGTCTTACGGCTAACACGCTCCGCTTTTATAGCGCTATCGAATTTACTAGAAAGATCCCTAGTATTCGATAGTCCGTTAGATATCAGTGACTGCAGTTTAGCAAACAATTTCTGCATTGTGTACATACAGACCGTGATCAAAGAAGTATGTGAAAATATTCAGTAATCATAGTATTGATTTACTCGGGAATAACTTTAAGGTAAATTTGGACATTAATCAATTAGTGTTAGGTACAATCTTCTTACAAATGAAATTATTCAACTATCAAAAGTAAGATATTAAGAGCTCGTCTTATAACATGACAGCTGAGTATTATCCGTGATACCTAACTTCTTGGTAGAAACACTAGTTGTCTTCAGATTTGACCCACAATAACAAACTTACAAACATTATAAGGTAAATAAAAGCTTTGTCTAATTACAAATATTTTTTTCAAAAAGCCGTGTGGTGTCGTGGGACACCCGATAGGAACGAAGTTGTGACGATCGAGTTAAACTGATTCGACACGATTTTAATTACAACGCCATCTATGAAAGCGGCTATTACCTACATATTTTTCAGTTGGTTTCTAATTATAACAATTTATACATAGGTAAAATCTCCTTGAGAAATGATGTCGAATACAATATTTTTTGCTCAACCTAAGAACATAAATTTTAATTTTACTGAGATGACAAGTAATGATTTCCTATCTATTCGATAGATGGCGCTGAATGACTGACAAGTGACAATTCAAAATAAAAAGTGTCGTTACAACTTTTCGTGAGAATTTTTTCCGTCTAGCCCTCTTTCACAACGCGCGATAAGGAACTTCGTTCCAAAACTAAAATTCTACACCTTGTAACATATTAAATTTCATGTGAAGTAAAAATTAAATATTAGTGAACTATTATGTTGACATTTATATTTATTAAAAAAAATCCCCCTTTTTTTAAAGTACTCGGAGAATGGGAAGATATGAAAATAAGTTCGATGATAAGAATTGTCCATATGATATGCAGGTATGGGTTCCCAGCAAAGTCGCAATCTATTATTTATAACACATACCTACCATAACTTATAGAACATGTAATGCGATCTGAAAATACAAATAGCGCGTCGTCATCGCGTTCGTCACAACTAAAACGATACCAGATCGATAGTCGAGGAACGAGCAATAAACAAAGAAATGTGTTTAGTGGCGCGTCACTAGGGTTCACTTTGACTGACCTGTGGGTTAGTGGTTAGTGACCGTGACTGCTACGCCAGAGGACGTGGGTTCGATTCCCACCCAGGACAAATAATTGTGTGATGAGCATCATTTGTTCTGTGTCTGGGTGTACTTTATCTGTAATTTGTATTTATTTAGAAATATATAAATATCTGTCTGGTTACCATAGTACAGGCTCTGCGTAGTTTGGGATCAGACAGCCGTGAGATGTGTGAAAATATGTGTATGTATACTTTTCATTCAAATATTGTTATTTCTCCTTAAATAGCATTAAAATCAAAGCAAAATCAGACATTACTAGTCGCTACATATACATTGTTTTCTTTTTATAAATCTAACAACATCAAATTAGTAACAAAAAGAAATACAAGAATGTGTATTTTACATGTGACTCCTAAACAGACATGTTATTGAAGTACATGTCTTGTATACGTTTTCAAACCTCGCGTGATATTTTGGTTACAGGGGAACAGATAAGGACAGTTTCATTCAATAAAATACTGGTGCCGAATACAGTTTTTTTTTTTAAATTAGAAAAAGTAATAAGTATATGCACGTATTTCCATCTCTTGGAGTATCAACACTCATCAAAGTAATCATATTCATAAATACGCGAATGTAAACCATAAAGGCAGTTACTTTTCATTAAAATCGACTTAAACAACTCGAGTGCAAAATTGTTCATACAAATTCATATATTCGTAAAGTTCACGGCTCGTATGTCATGTTTGATTTACATTCAAGATAATTATGTATGTTAGAAGTAAATGTAAAGGGCAATCGAATAACATTATCGAGAACCCAGACAGATGGTATGTTGTGTGGGTATTTAGAAGGATGCCCAGATTTAAATCGTTAGATATGCTCATACCATACTTATATCAAATCGTTTGTTCACTTACACGCATTAAACGCTTATGCAAAGTCTTAGAAGCTTCCTTCCTATAGCTTTTCATTTGCGTTAAGCGCTAAAATATAAAATGTTAATGGGCGTATCTTTTGATTACGTTGACTTTTTTCAGTAATGAAATCCTATAAATTTAGCATCGCTTTATTAAAAGTGTAAGCAATCAAAGCAAATAAGAGACCTACTGGTTTCTGTAGTTAAAGAGACAATGTTATGTTGGGATTTCAAATGTCCATTATAACAATACGTTCTGTCTGAGTTACAACTTAATTACGCGTCGTTATGGTGGTGGTGTAGTATTAGCATGTTTGTGAATCTCACAGCTTTTGCCGCAGGGACTAAAGTATTTGGTGCAGCAAAGTAACCAGACAACAGTAGAATAGCTGGCGTGTTTTTTGTAGATGTAATTTTAAAACAAACTAAAGGAAATTGGCTATGAATTTTAAGAGCATGATTCATAAAGAAAGAATACATGCATAACGAACGATAAAAACAGCTAAACTTTGTTTAAATAAGCTAAAGCTTTGTGACCTGTACTTTAAAGTTATGATCATCTTTGTTTAAATAAGTTTATAATTTTGGTCAAAGGGGAATGCCCATTTTTGGCCATGAAACGCCCAACAATTTGCTTTTGTTAGAGAAAAACATCTTATTTTCTATTTATTAATCGAGGTATTCATTTATCCTGAGAAGTCTGCAACATTTAAGCAGAAAAAAAGGACCGAAAAGATAAGAGTGAAATTACGTTAATCCGTAATTCATTGGTTTCTGGAAAAATATTAAGTGAGAAAAATATTTACTCATTTGGTTCAAAAAATCGTTTTTTTATGATGTCATTGTTTTATTACTAATATTATACGATTTTCGTAAATTATTATGATTTCATTATTTTAGTGCTAATATTAATCGCTCTTTCGGTTATTATTATGATGTTACGAAAATAATATAAGCGAATTGCTAGTTTAATTACCATGAACTCTTTAAATCGTAGCAAAAACGCTACTGTACAATTTAACTCTCATTCTTATCTTTTCTTAATCATACTTTTAAGATTTAATAAAAAAACATTAAAGATATTATTAAAAACACTAACAGGAAGTATATTCTAAAAGGGGTACAGAATTTAAAGGCGCTTCGTAGATTATTTTTCATATTAAATTATATTTTGCAAATAATCGATTTCGATTTCCGATTTTATGTCTGGTAAGTGACAACATCGAATGTTTTAAAACAGCAAGGACACAATCTGTCACCATTACGTGTAATCACAACTTTATTTTCTTACTTTTATTTTCTTACAATACAACTAATAAGCTTTCTAAATGGACTCCGACCATTTTTCTTACCCTACTGACCATGGCCTGAACAAGGATCCCGCTCCCCCTTCTTACGATAACTCCTGCACGAACTAGGACTCGATATCCTTTGAAAATAATGATCCCAGCTTTCACATCGGCCAGAGTTCTTTACAGCCTACAGTAACGTCAGTAAAAAAGTAGTAAGAGGACATTTACGCTGTGTCAATTGTCGTATAAATGTCACGCAGATGCGAAAACATTTAATTGGAAATTGAAGAAGTTCGAAATCTAATACAACAATGGGTTCGATCACAGCACATAAATATTAATCGATGTCATTTCTTCCTCTTAAAAATGCTTTTTAACTGAGAAGACTTAAAATAATATCAATATCTAATCATTATGGCATCTTTATTATTAGGTACAAGTTTCGAGTGACAATGTAGTGTGCCACTCGTGTTGGACTGCAGCCTGGAATGAAATACGTCATCCAGCTAGCAAACAGCAGAATGCATCGATTGTTGGTCATGGACTTGGGACTTGTGTGCATCAGCTGTGGCAGGTGACTTTTGAGAATAAGATCACACTCACTTTGTTCTGATCACCACGTGAGGAGCTCATAAGGAATGTGATTATGCAGCAGATTGCACCACGTGTGTTCAACAGTTTTTAATTTATGGGTGTAAAATGTAGCCAATGTTATTCGCTGATAATATAACTTTCCATTGGTGAAAGAATTGTGTGATAGCGTAACAAACAAACAGTTTCACTTTCACATTTAATATAAAGTATGGATTATGGATAAGCAGCAAACTCGCTGGT